TCTTTTCACTTGTCTTAACAAGTTCAAGGAATTGTTGTGATTGTTGTGCAAGACCAGAGTTTCTGCCTGTACTCTAGATCCTGTCCCTTCCTACCTTTTGAGTGATGATACTTCCTTATCCCTTCTCTTTCCTGTATTAACAGCTTCTTTTTCATTATTGGCTTCCTTCCATATGTTGCCTCTTCTTCTTCTTTACATGAAGACTTTTAAAGGGAGTTTCAACACTCACCTCCATTTCCTGTTTCCCACTTGGTTCTCAACCCATTCCTTTCTTATCCTTCCTCCTCTTCATCCTCCTTTTCATCTTTCTCATCCTTCAGTTACATTTTCTTGTTCTGTTCTTACACTTTCTCTTTTTCTTCCTTCTCTTCTACTCCTCCCCATCCTCCTCTTTTCTTCCTCCCTTCCTTTTCTTTTCTACAGAGTGGATCCTCGTTGCAGCTGGTATTTCTAGTTTTACACACAGACAGGTTAGAATGTGTGTGTGTTTGTATGTGGAAGAAATATATGAAAACATACATACCCAATACATTGATTTAACTTGGTGATAATAATTTGTTAGTGACAGAACAAAGGAATCACTCTAAGAAAACTCAATATATGAGTTTTTAAGTAAACCTGTCAAAGTCCTTAAAGATGTAGAATAAGATTAAAGATTTTAAATATAAGTAACTTTTAATATGGTATATATAATTAATCGAAAGCATACTTTTACATTTTACATAGCTTGGTACATAGTGGGTGTTTGGCACATAATTACTGAAAAATATATTGACTATTCTTTTTTGTGTAAATGTAGTATTAATTATAAATGGCCAAATGAGTATACTTGAGGTTTAATGTAGACCAGAATATCATAAGGCATATAAGAAGCTCTTATGGACCAAGAGCTACCAAGAGCAGGGAAGACATCCTAAAGTGATGAAATTATTAAAAGTCATATAAAAGAAAAAGTGAATTTTTTCTAGATACTACAGTTTCCAGTATTGATAGTGTATTCCAGAACTTATCATTTTATAGTTTTGGCTACTGCTTAATTACTAAATAATTACTAAAATGCTATTTTTCCCCCCCATGGGAACAGATTTCTTTTGCTCGTTTTGTTTTTATCTTTGACCTGAATTCTTTCAACTCTTTAGGGTTTTTTTTCTCTTTAATATTTATTGTACAAGAAAATTTTAGTTATAATTGTGGAGATAAAGTCAAGGACAGTCTTTCCCTCACAATCCTGCTGTCCCAATAAATAATACTGTTTTTTATCTT